ATAAAAGTCAGAAGTTTGCAGGTACAATACTGATGAAATAAATTATTTAATTCAAATCATAACACTTTCTTCTTTCAGTATTTAACCTTCTGGGAATTATGTTAAGACAATGGCACATTTGCATTTGAGGGGTTTATGATTAAACTCACTTTCCTTCTGCTTTTTCACAGTGTGTCTCCATTCGTAGGTACAAAGCCTTAGCCTTAGAATCTGATTGGCAATATGGAGCAATGGAAGGATTGTGAAAATGAATTGTAACTCAAATGATATTAGGTAAGAATTGACAAAGAGCATTCTATATACAATGCTAAGATATATTCTAAAGGCTCAGGTGGTCATAGGTTATCCTGGGGTTGCTCCAGGTAATGGACATCAAAGCACAAAGTAATCATGTTTAAAACATATCTTTCAATTTATAAACTTCATATTGAATAGTGACAGGAAGGTAATGTCTATTTATAAATTTTATGTGTTTCTCTACATCTACTATTTTAATATTAACCTTAGAATTTCTACAGAATATTAGCTTTAAACCCATTGCTTATTTTGAATTTAATATAGTGCTTTTTAAAAATGTATGTAAGGATTATATCTCTTCCAGGTAGCTTATTAATACTAAAATATTTTATGAATTTTGGGATATTCAAATAAGACCTTGGTTTATTAACTAACATTAATCAAAGGTTTAAAGGTTTGAAGAGGTGTAAAAATGGCTAAACCATGATAAAAATTCTGACAAACTGTAGAAGAATGGCAAGTTCACATTAAAGGAGTGATCAACTACTATGAGCTGGGAATAAAACCCACTGTGACTAAAATGAGTAGAGAACAATGAAGAACGAGAAGAATGGGTAAAAGAAAAGGAATGAAATGCCCTTGGGAAATTGAATAGCACTTCCAGGTATAAATATTCAACAAGGTATTATCAGTGAGGAAGAGAATTACATGGGAAACGTATTACAACTGACACCATCATAACACACTTTTGCTCAATACTCATGTTATACATCTCTCTCATTCCTTCAGATAGAGGAGATGTGTCTATCATATCAAAGAAGACAGTTTTTTGTATATGATCCTTGATAACTCAGATATACTTTTGACAATATCTGCTTATACAATCAAACCTATAGTCATACACTCATAATAGTAATAGCATATGGTTCAAGAGTTTGATAATTGGACTCATTAACTATTGTAACTAAGAAGAATGAGGTTGGTAATTACATTTACCATAAAATAAAATATGCAAACATTTTGACAATTACATTACAATGTCCTAGAATTATTTATGTTACTCTGGATATAGTTGGCATTATGAATTACTACTATTAGTGTCTAGGAAATAGAGCAGGCATCTCAAAAGCAACAGAATGTAAAAGTTAAGAGCAAAAGATATGACGTTACATAACTTGAATTGAACCCTAGCTTCACCATAAGCTGTGTGTAACGTTGGACAATTTAATTCACCTGTTTTCTGTTTCCTAGTCTGTAAAATGCTGATAATAGTATCCACCTCACAGGCTTGTTGTATGGATTAAAATAGTTCATTTATGTAAAATACTTAGCACAATGCCTGACACAGAGTAAATATTAGCTGTTAGCTATTATCATCTATAAATGAAAGATTTGTTTTCTGTTTTGATTCTAAGGAAAAAGTGCTTCTTTCTGCCCAAAGGACTAAAAATCTTTTCAGCATTTGAACCCATTAATAACAAATCTAGAAGAATTGAAACTCTTCTAGAGAGGGACAGAGCTGCTGAATCAGCAAACCAGGCCCAGAGTTAAGGAGGTGGCCTAACTAGTACAATTCAGATCTGTTCTACAGAACGAACATAATCAAGTAATCAGCCCACTTACAGGATATTCTCTGGTCAAAGACCAACAGGAACACCCCTATAGTTGAACAAGTTAGGCTTACATGTTGCAGCAAAGGATAATGCACACCATGGGAGGTGCATGTGAGGTCTCAGTAAGAGGTTGTTAGAAAGGACTTAGAGGTTTGAGCTTTGATTGAGTGATTTGAGGAGGATCCAAGGAAGCAAGCTTCCCTCTTGACTAGGTGCTTTCAGAGAGCAGGGATAACTTTATAACTAGGTATTTCAATGTATCTTATCAAAGGGCAAGACAGACTAGAGGGAGACTAAAGCTGTAATTGGTTAAAATACTACTACTAATAATATCAGTCACTCCTATTAGCCCAGAATGGGGGATGTTTGGAATTATGCTGTTTGTTTGTATTCTGTGGACAAAAGTTCCCTGAAAAGGAATTTGGAGGAAAGAGACTTTATTCTAGTGTATTGTCTGCAAATGAGGGAGACAAAAGCATTGGTTGGAAAACCAAGGTGAATTCCAGAGAAGAAAGAGAGGGTTTGGGTTTTATAAAGAAAGTTCCCGCCTAGGTTCTCAATCTGTTTATGTAAATAAACGGGTCTGTTTATATAAATGAAGGATTGAAACTTGTCTGGTTCTGATTGTTTGATGCAGCCAAATCATGATTGGTTGAGGCAGATGAGCATTAATTGGCTCGTTTCCAAGCCCCAAACCAGAAGTATCTGTCAAATGTTTCTTTCAAATGGCTGGTGAGGGTGTTGGATTTCTTTACCTTGGCACTGACAACAGGAACTGATTTGGCATGATCATAGAAAGGGAGGTCCTGTGATACTTTTACTGTATCTTTCTGAGAACACAGAGTAATGTGACCGCTCCCTCAACTCAGCTATGGCTGCCTGGTTCTGTTTTAACTTTGGGCACCTCAGTTAGCCATGAGGAGTCCATTTTGTCTGTTGACCAGGGGCAGACTTTCACAGTTCAGATGTGAATAGAGTGGTCTTGCATTTGTCTTGATCCATCATGGTCACAGAGTGACCTTGTCTGATGATGATGTATATGAAATTGTCTATGTTCAACAGGAGAACACCAAGGCCTAGTCGATAGTAGTAGGACAGCGCCTGGGCTACAGGGGCTTCCTTTTTTTTTTCTTATCATCTTAATGAATCTTATTTCTGACTGGGTGGGTGATTCCTTGTCAAATCCCTAGTCCTGTCTTTTCTGAATATTACTTTCAGCATCAACATCTAAATTCTGAAATTAACCAGGAGCTCATAAACCATAATTATAGTTATAACATGAATATTCAATTTCATTAATATTAAGAATGGAAGGATGCCCAATGTTCATTGTAAAGACAAAGTGGTAGAAGGCATTCTTCTTCCCAAATCTAGGTTTTAAATGTTTCTCTATTGTTATAAATAAAACTAACCAACAGAAATATATCAATTTCATCATACTCATATGATACAAGGTCAAATTTTGGGGAAAAATTGCAGACTGTGAATTGTCTTATACTCAAAGTCCATTATGAAGAATGAGAGAAGGAAAGGTGAAAAGTCAAGTAAAAAGTCAAGAAAAAGTCAAGTACCCCTTGCAGAGAACTCAGGAAAGTGGGGTAGGAATGGGGATGTGCAGACTGGTCTTTCCAGTCTCTTCTTAACTACTGGTTACTTCCCATACAAATGCCACAGAGCTCAGGGAGCCCCTGGATACCCTGGATTAAGGATCTAGAAGCCTCCAAGTTGTTTGTGCCATTATCTACACATACCCTTGTCTTCTACCAGATGATCCCTGCAGTGCTATGATGAAGTAGTATGGGTTACATTCATTTCTGTGAAGTGCATATAATTCACACCTCACTTCCCTAAGGCCATTGGTACTCTTGCTTATGACAGAATACTACCATATGTTGTATTGCAGCACTCACCACTGTTTGTGGTATCAGCAAAGCATAGCTGATGATCACAACTTAAAGTGATTATTGGGACATAGCAAATGTACATAACATTTGGTTTTATAATTCTAAAAATAGTTCTACATCTGAAAAGAAACTTAAGTGGTTATGAAAATAATCCACATACTTCCAGAAAGTATTACTCATTTTTTACATCTAAGACAAAATCATTCCTAGGCTCAAGCAAAATAAATAAGCTAAGGTGTGAGGTCCGTAGTATTTAAACCTGGGTTAATCGTCACAGCACAAACTATCGGCAGGAATCAATGTCGATCTCGAGGATAGAGCAAATGATTAGATTAGCGAGGCTGTGACCCAGAAGATAGCTGATGTGCTATTTTAAAAAATTCTCACTGGAAAATTATCCACATTTGCAGTAATGCCTGAGGGTGACTACCTCAATAGCTAAAAAATGGACAAACCTGGAATTATCAGATTCCTCAACTCTGATTCGATACTGTAAGAAAACTGCATTGTCAATTACTCAGAATATGATGCAGGTTTGGTTTTACCTATGTATCTTCATTGTTTGGACCAACCATCAGTCCCCCATTGTAAATTGGTTGATCCTATCTTTCTGATGAATAGATAATGAAAAAAAAGTTGTATAAAGGAAAGAAGCAAAGATTGTTAGACTGTGACAATGCTGATAGACTAACTGTGCTCAAGAAATCCAAGAAATGACCCTAAACACAGAGATAGACAAGGAGCAAAGATGTTTAATCCATTACACAATTACTTTAAGGACTGATCTTGTCTAAAATTTATCTATGCTGAGATACTCAGCACATATATCTACCAGACAAGAAAAATTCATGGAGGAAAAAGGTGTCTCTTTGAATACTATGGACTTTATGCCTTAGCTACTACCATTTATTTCATTTCAGAGGGAGCTTTATGGAGAAACTTAGAGTATAGATTTTTTTATTTTTTGTTTTTCTTTTTTTTTAAAACATGGTCTCCCACTGTTACCTGGGCTAGAGTATGGTGGCATCATCTTAGCTCACTGCAGCCTTAAACACCTGAACTCAAGGGATCCTCCTGCCTCACCCTCTTGAGTAGCTGGGACTAGGCGTGCGCCAGGATGCCTGGCTAATTTTTCTATTTTTTGTAGAGATGCGGTCTTGCTCTTGCTCAGGATGGTCTCAAAGTCCTGGCCTCAAGCAATCCTTTTGTCTAGGCCTCCTAAAGTGCTAGGATTATAGGTGTGAACCACCACACCCAGCCTATTTTTATAAATGGAACACAGAACACATGGGCTCTCAAACTATTATGCGTGTCAGAATCACCTGGAAGGCTTGTTAAAACACTGGTCACTGGGCTCTGCTTCTCAGACTTTGATTCATTAAGTCTGGAATGGGCGTTGAGAATTTGCTTTTCTAGAGAGTGCCCAGGTAATGCTGATGCTACTGCTTAGAGACCCCTCTTTGAGAACCATTAGTCTAATTCTTTCACTTTATTAGTTCCTGAGCTCTCTAAGGGCAGGCCTCTTTCCTTGCCCAGTGCTCTCCATGTGTGCTCAATAAATGGTAGGTAGTGAGTGAATGAGGAAACTGAGGCACAGAGAGACTAAATGCCATGCCCAAGGTAGATGCTTCTCCCTCTTTTAGCCCAGCCAAAAGGTGAACCACTAAAGGTAGTAGCCAGAAAGATCTGTCTTTGCAAAAGTGAAAGGTAACAAATTACAGTTTACAAGTAATCAGAATTTGTATGGGTCTTTTAGAAAACTACTCTAAAGGCTCCATTATAAAATTTCTATTTCCTTTTTCTGACTGCTGCAGAAAAAAAAAAAAACTTAGTGAAATTACCTTTATAAATATATTAATTTATTCTACCCTGAGGATATTATATTCAGTGATTTAGCAAAACTAATCTGAACTAATAACAGACACACATTTACTGAGACTAAGCAAATTTTCCAGTAGAGAGATACTTAGCCATTTGGAACAAATGAAACTTGAGGTATAAAGATTAAAGAATAGCTGTAATGTCTAAAAGAGGTAAGAGTGTTTACAAAGAGATTGGCACAAACTAAAATCCAAAGTTAAGGGTGCTGACAAAAAAAAGTATCATAAAGGAATACAAATTCACCACTATCACCACCACTACAAAATTCTCAACCACTGATGAATGCTCAATATGTGTCTCCAAAGGATTTTTTTTTTTTTTTTTTGAGACAGCATCTCACTCTGTCACCCTAGCTAGGATTATCATAGCTCACTGCAACCTCAAACTACTGGCTCAAGTGATCCTCCTGTCTCAGCCTACCAAGTAGCTGGGACTATAGGCATGTGTGACCATGCCCAGCTAATTTTTCTATTTTTCATAGAGACGGGATCTTGCTCTTGCTCAGGATCGTCTTAAACTCCTGACCTCAAGCTATCCTCCCCACCTTGACCTCCCAGAGTACTAGGATTACAGGCATGAGCTGCCACACCCAGCCTCCACAGGATTCTTCATCACTACATGAGAACCACACTTTCTCAAGCCTTTGGTTCTATCCAATGGAGTCAAGCAAATAGTGACTGTCTGTTTATCTCCACTCTGTCAATGCAATATCCAGAGCACACTGTCCCTTTAAAAATCCTAAATCTGTTCCACAGACCAGTTGAAATCTTGCAGCCTACTGGGCCCAATATAAATGAGTGAAATTGAGAGACCATAAAGGTAATAGGTAACAGTGGGACTTCGTTAACAAAAAAAAAAATACACTTCATTTAAAGGGGAAGTTGCACCCCAGCTTCAGCACATTGTTCATCTATGGGATGCGATCCCAGTGTTACCAAATCCTCCAAAATTTTTCAAGAGGTATCAGAATCCAGATGTCCTGATATGTTAAACATTGTGTGACCCAAACAAAATATGTTTGTAGGTAGGACAGGGCCTCTGGCATTCCTTTTGGGACCTCTCTTTAGGCTCTAGGAAGTCTTTTCTCTGGTCCTATTTGCTTGGTTATCTCACAGTTTCTTTCAGGATATGTATTAATATTCTCTTCCTTCCTTGACAAATACTCCATTTTCTTCTTCCAAAATTATAAGCTCAAAATTTTTCTTCCCCTAATTCCTAAAGGATTGGGCAGGTAGATCATGGTTCCATCAGAAGTTGTCTTTGACCACTTCATATGCTGAGAAAGAGTCTGTTACTGATGAATTTTTTATCTGAGGTGACCAATCCTATGTTCACTGAGACTTTAATTCTCACATATGCCAGAATCCTTGGGGGAAATGTGTACTTTGGTGTACATTGTTGGTGTACTTTGTGGGCAAACTCTCCCTTCCCTTAAGACTTTAACCCCTTCCAACCACCAGCTGAAATCCTCTATGAAGAGAGAGAGCATATCCTTCCCCACAATTACAGGAGAGATCATGACATTAATAGTTAAACTGACTAAAACTAAGTAAATTTTGATTTTGCAAAACTTATTTTTGTATGAGCCTGTGTATTCTGCACAAGCCCATCAGTGCAGGACACTCCTATGTAGGAGAGTTCAAATATGGCATAACTTTCCTGCCTGGCATAGGGCCTAGCACAGAGAAATGTTTCAATAACTATGTATTTAATAAATTTTGGTTAAGTAAAATCTCTGATCAAACATTTTTAGGGTCACAAACTAGTCTATGACATGATAGACTTTTTAAATGGCTATATTTGTCATACTAAAGGGAACTGTCAATGTGAACTTTATAAACATCAAAAAAGGTGAATCTATAAAACAAAGTGCTTGAATGCATAGGTCCCCAAATAGCAACAATGACTTTCAACAATGACTTTCAAACATCTTATAGCCAATGTTTACTTTCCTGTGGATGACAAAGCAGTATGTATCCATGATTTACATCTTCTTAAAAACAGTCAATTTCTGGCTTTAACAAGACCTTTTCTTGGTAAAGAGATTTTTCAAAAACATTTATCATATAAGCTTCTCTAAAATAGTTTTTCTCAAAATAAGATCCACCTGCCAACTGCATTTAGCATCAGGTGGAGTAATTATTTAAAATGCAGATTCCTAATCAACCACTTTCTCTGAATCTGGTCGTTGAGAGTCAGAAATGTATATTTTTAACTCTTCGTGTGATTTTCTTGCATATTGAAGTTTTAGCATTACTGTTCTAAAAACTTCTGTGTAGAGAAAGATAACCTCCAAAAATAAACAAATTGCATTGAACAGATGAAGTCTTCTTGTAGATACATATGGATTTTTCAAGTATTAATGACTCCATTCTTTCTTCAAACAGGTACTTAAAACTATAAGAAACATGAGTAATTTAAAGGTTACAAAACTAGCTTTGTAATTATTAAAATAAAATCCACAAGTAATTATAGAATGAGGTGGTTATCACACTTCTCCCCTCTCCCAACACATATACAAACCTTCCTTCCAAAGGTAGAACCTGAACTTCTTTCAGAGACCCTGGTAAAATTGAGCATTACCTACTTTGTGCTAGATTAGGCTGGACAGGGATGAGCCCAGACTCTTACATCTAGACCTCCTTAGTTATTAAAAAGTTCCAAAGTTGAATGGGACTCAAAAGTCTTTTGGGATCTCAGACATTTCTATTAGCCCAATAAGAAACTATCAACACCCTAGAGAAGCTAAGAACCCCATTCAGTACCTCCAGGGCCCTGAGGACCCAGTTTGGAGTGGGGTGGGTCTCTAGAGAGGTGAACAGGTACACACAGTGGCCCAGCCCTAACAAAAGAGCCTGGATGTGGCTTTGCTTTCTCAATACATGGGAGCAGCAGCTGCAGAGTGCTCATCAGCTTGGCTGGCTGGAACTCAAAACCAGACCTAATCATACTCTGCATCTTCAACTGAGCTTCTGCCAAGTCTAGCCACTCCCTTAAAGGACTAATGGAGGAAGGTCGAAGCCAAGGATGACTGGGGATAGTGCTGGCCTGGAATGTGAGTTGTCTTCCCTTTGACATCTCCAGCACAATATGATTTTCATCCTTATCTTAAAATATCTGATTTTCCCTTATTCCTAGTGTGATATAAAGTCCTCCAAGGGACTGAGGTTGGGCAGTTGAGCCCTAAAAATCCTCAGTGAGCTTGAGAGCTTACAACCTACTCTACCTCCTGGGAACAAATAGGATTAAAATCTTACATTTATTAAGTTATGAGACCAATACTTAGGCCAAATCAGAAAACAAATGACAGGCTTCTTTTTTTAATATTAAAATACAGGGAATCCTTTTATACTAGTATAATCCTACTGAGTTTCTGTAGAAAAATGGGAAATTAAAAAGAACTTGCATCACCGGGAGAAACAACCTCGGTTCAGAAACCTTCAAAGTTTCTATTTACATTCATCTTTACAGACCACTTAGTCATGCCAGTTTTCATAAGAAAATAAATGTCATAACTCTCTTTCTCAATTCCTTTCCCTATTTTGTCCTGCATGGAAAATACATTCTCATTTTTAAGTGACAGAGGGTATTTGCTTTTAGGGAAAAAAATAATTTGAAAAATATATAATGTACTGTAATTTGTTTTTTAATTTTTAGAGTAAAAATAACTACAGATACACATGTTATAGAAACAGATGTGTATTTAACCATATGTGTGAGTCTATTTTTTCTTCTAATCCCTACCACATATATAAATCCCATTGCCATGTTTCACAGGTCAATTATGCTTGAATCTGAAAGAAACAGTGTTCAGTACGAACATTTGCAAATGAGCACAATGAAGTCTAGAAGGTTCAAAGTGATTTCTTCAAGGCCACATGTCGTACAAGAATGAAGATGAAAATCCAGATTCCCTGACTCCTGGTCCAACACTGTCTCCAAAGGAACATCAAGTCTTTTTTCTCCCTCCCATATAGCTTGGATTTTTAAAAAATCATAAAAATAACTTTTATTGCTCCATCTATAACATAGTCTGAGTATGGAAGACATATCAATAGTGTAATAGAATGGTGTGTTAGAAGAGAAACTTGCTTCGCTGCTGCTTTTAGAGGTACCACTGCCCCCAAATCATTCAGTGCTGACAGCGTTGATACTGTTTAAAACATGTATCTTCAGGAGGTTTGTAAAAAATCCATGAGTTGAGGTCTTAGGGTCATTTGACATTTCTTATGGCTCTTGGCAAATTCCAGTCCATTCTGTACAAGAAGAGTTTATTGGACATTACAGCAGACGCAGCTAGTGCCCTGCCATGGTCCCTTGGCACTCACTGTTTTCTTACATGAGTGACTCTCTGCCAGAGTATTTTCTGGGGTTCAGGAGCACACTAGCTGCATGCAGCACTGGCCAAAGTGCCCAGGAATCAATGCCCCTGAGAGTAAACTTCAAATAACAATGCAGCTACCCTGTGATAAATACTCCAGCTTCTTTGCCCCTCAGTTAGGATAGTTCTGAGGCATATTTTAGGCAGCCTTTCAGAAGTGCCCAGCATCCACTGAGCTCCAGTTCTCTACAATGAAAACCTCTTTAATGCACCTGTATTAGCATCATTTCTTTTCCATTTCCCGCCTTTCTACAGAACTTCCTGGGATTATCATCCAGACAAACTATTTGCATTCAAATTCTTGTTTTAGGGTCTGCTTCTGGAGAATCCAACCTAAGACAAGCATATATACTCTATGCAAATCACTGTTCAATAGTAGGTGACACGAGACCTGAAGATGAAAAAGATATTGCCCTAGCCCTCAAAAGGTTGAGGCCAGGGAGGGATGATAAGACTTTTACGTAGGTAGCAACATAGGTAAGACAAGAGAAGACATAATATTTGGGGAGGTTAAGGGAAATAAATAAAATAAAAACATTTTCACAAAGGAAGGATTCTCAAAATGAAAAGCAGAATTTGCTATTAAGAACTGAGTACATTCTTTATAGCAGGAAGGACTCAAACAAGCAAGTAGTAAGATTACACACATTAAATAACCAAGGTCCTGATTTTCCTTGGAAATACATGTCAGAGAATTTATTATTGCTTACACAATGCTAGCCTGAATGATCAATCTCAAGGGAAAGATTTCATCAAACTAGGGCTTATTTTTTTAGTAGCAAGAGTAGGCACATAACCCCCCAAATCTGATTGGACAAGATTAACTGGCTATTTTACATCTTGTGTTAGAAGGGTGTCAGAACTGTTTTTTTTTTTTTTCATTCAGTTCTGTCAAAATAGACTAATTTTTGTGGAAAGCAAACAAATTAAACAGTTAACTTCAGTGTGTCATTAGGTTGATAAGGCAACCCTTTGAGTTTTCACTTGAGCCGGTGGCCATGCCAAAGTCAGTCAAATGTTTGCAGGTTTCAGACACTGACTACACAGAATCCTATAAATAAACCTCCTCAGTCCAAGATGAGTTACTGAATAAAGGTGACAGAACAGCACAAGTTGAATAAAACTATGTGATTAAAAAATCTCAAGGACATCCCTGAGCTGATAAAAATGCTGCATTCCAGTTTTGGCTGGATTGTCTTGTGAGCTGGATTGTCTTGTCTGATGATGACTGAGCATACACCTGCCATGTGCTAGGCACCTTAGAAACTCTAGTTAGTTCTCAAAACAGCACAGTAACACAGGTATTAACACTGATATGCTTTTACAGAGGGGAAACTGGAACTCAGGGATGGCTCAGTAACCTGCTTAAGGTTGTCAGACCCTCAAATCTAAACTTTCCTGAAAATATCATGGTGTCTTCCTTCAGAGCTGAAAATAAAGTATAATATCTTGGCTTCAAAGTGCTTTGTTTTAGGAGATGCCAAAGATGAGTATGAAGAAATGTCAGCTGAGAGAAACTTATATCTTAACAATATAGAGTTGAAATTCTTATTAGATGCTATAGTTTCAATGTGTCCCCTCGCAAATTCAGGTGTTGAAAGTTAATGACCACTGTGATAGCATTAAGAGGTGGGGCCTTTAAAAGGTGATTAGGCAGTGAGGGCTTCTCCCTCACAATGCAATCGAGGCCCTTATAAAAGAGACTTCATGCAGCATTCCTTCTGTCCCTTCTCCACATGAGGACATGGTATTTGTCCCCTCTGGAAGGTGCAGCAAAAAGGCACCATCTTGGAAGCAGAGAGTAATTTTCTGTTTTTTATAAATTACCCATTCTCAAGTATTTGTTATAGCAGCACAAATGGACCTTAGACATTAGGTCTAATAATATGTAGTTTTGGAGAAAATGAGTATGTAAAATGTTATTTTCTAAGCATTCTTCTGTCTAGTATCAAAAGAAAATTTCCACATTTAAATTCCATGTAGTTTACAAAAAATTAATCTTTATTCCTAGAAAATCTGAAGATTTTCTCAAGGAAAAGTTGCAGGATTTAATCTGAGAAGTTAGGCCAGGCACAGTGGCTCATGCCTGTAATCTTGGCACTCTGGGAGGCTGAGGCGGGAGGACTGCTTGAGCTCAGGAGTTCAAGACCAGCCTTAACAAGAGTGAGACCCTGTCTCTACTAAATATAGAAAAAATAATAATCTGAGAAATTCATGAGGCTGATGGTCTACAATAAAAAAAACACTTTCATGAATTAATCTGTATAGAGAAAGAGGAAAGAAAAATGAGGGAGAGAGAGACAAGGGATATTGGTCCTTCTACGAGTAAACAAATTCAGATCTGAGTCCTATGAAAAGAAGGCTGTAGGCAGAAACTTAGGAAACAGCACCCCCCCCCCCACTGTTCAGAAGACAGGGAGACATCGAGTTTGAGAGCAGAGTTTCTTCCCTCCTCTGGGTAGAGAAAGTCATAGTGGTTAGGTATTAGCACCCCTCCTATGAGTAACGCTAGCAACGGCAGGGTAAGGCAACTTTACACAGTTTCTTTGCTTGAGGAAATGGATGTGCATGACTAGAGTTGAAGAAGAAAAAGATAGCTAATTCTCTGGGTAACAAGAGCCAAGAGACTACTTCATAAGGACAGGTGGAATTCCGAGGCTTAACTAAGAAAGTCTGTGGGGCTGTTGGAATCCTCTGGAAGCAGGTATGAGCCACAGATCATGAGAGTTTGGTTCTTAGTGATACTGTGACTATCATCTATAGTCACAGGCTTGTACAGCTGGGGGAAGCTTAGATTATATATTGTTTTGAACCCAGTCCCTCGCCCATTCACTTAACTATTTCATTTGAATACTTCCTCATAGGATTAAATCTTTTTCTACAATATAATTTTTATGAATAGATAGTGTTCCACTGTATGGATGGACAAGAATTTTTAAATCAATATCCTGTAGTTTAATGTAGGGGATTTTATTTTTCATTATTATTAACAATTTTGTGATAAATTACCTTGCAGCAAAATATATCACATTCATGATTATTCCTTTAAGACTGATTATTAGAAGTACACTTTTGGGGTCAAGGGGGAATACAAACTCTCGAACATTTTGCTACCCATTGCCAAGCTGCTCTCCCTACTTACTGCTATTTTATACTTGCTCCTCTTAAAAGTGAGCATTCCTATAAAGTCTTGTTATACAGTCTGTGAGACAGATTAAAAAGTGAGTTTTTTGGTTTGGGTTTTTTTTTTTTTTTTTACACAGTAAATGATCTTAGCATTGCATTGGCTTAAAAATTATGCTTTAAATAATTTTGGAATTGAGATTCCAGAGAAATACAAAGAGCTTGGCCAGCCATACACACCAATGACAATTAGACTAATTCACATGCTCAGAGGATGAATCCTATGAGAGAAAAATGTATCACAAAGCAATGAATGGATTCACCTGCCACCTCTGCAAAATAATACACTGCATCAGACAAGATTCTATCTTTTATAGTTCTTGAGACATATAACATGTTTACTTCAGAGTCTGTCATTATCTTGGGATGGTTGTCTGGACTTATGCCCCATAAGAGAAGGGGAAGAATATAAACTTCCATGGGGATTAAAGTATTTGTGTATCCACTCAACATTATAAAGAATGCTTGGTTTAAGGTAATATAATGCCAATTCTCAGGAAAACTGATAGGCAGCATGTTACCAAATGGAATATAGCATGGGAAAAGGTGGTCTAGAAAATGACAAAGTAGGTGGCGGATTGAGGAATGCATTCTAGAGTGGAATCCGGGAGATGCCACTTGGGTATATATGGCTCTCACTAGGACTGTCATCTCTGGAATGACAGGTATTCAGGGTCATAAGAGAATGTGAATGTTCTCCTAGTTCACTCACTCATGTAGCACTACAGTCTCTTCAGTCTACTACCACTGGGCAAACACCATGGTCTCTGCTCGAGCCCTCCAATGACAGGGAAATTTTTCATTTAATCAATAAAAAGTTCAGCAAACATTTCTTATTAATTGGAACCTTCCTGAGTAAAACCTTTTATTATCTGGATGATTTGGGACTTAATTTTTAGTAGGAAGAGAGATAAATGATGAGGGTGCTGTGGTGGTCATTTAGGCTGTAAAGATACATTTGTATCTTTGATATGCTTGTAGGATGTAGTTCCCTACATCCATTTTTGTTGCTTTGGCTAATGAAATGTGAGTGGAAGCGACTTACATCAATTAAATATAAAGCTTTAAAAGACTCTGTTGTGAATCATGTTTGCTTCCTTTTACCAAAGTGACTGTGGAAACTTGTTGAGATGTAGGTTCCAACAGGCTGAGCCCCTGAGTAACTGTGATGAACAGGGACCTCCCACCAATAGACATGGGTCTCTCAGTGTGAATTCAGCTTGTATTGTGTTAAGCCAATGAGATTTAGGCACAGTCTGATATCATGACAGAACCTATCCCTTGCTGACTGTTAAGGACTGGTTTAGCAGGGATTATTTTAAAATGCCAATTTAGAAGACATAGCCTGAGTCAATCAATAAATGTATTCGGTCCAATCTCCTGTACATCTACAGCAATGGTAGCATGCAATCACAACCCATGCTCAATACCTTATCATTAAAAGAGATTTAATTGT